TTAACCTAACTAACGGTACGTACGACGACCTAACGTAAACTACCACGTACGTCTCTCTCTACGTAATTAAGTTTACTACTACTACTACTTCTTCTCTCTTACTCTACACACGACCACTTCTACTACTCTCTCTCTCTCTCTCTCTCTCTCTCTCACACACACAACTTTAGATGACTGCCATTTCATTTTCTCTCTCTCTCTCTCTGTTTCACACACAAATTTCTCTCTCTCTGTTTCACACACAAACAGAGACTACAGTCCACTTAGTGCTCACATAATCTCTTAAGCAAATACAAGAGTTGATGAAATAGTCTTCTCTCTCTGTTTCTGGTGAATCCTGTAGTAGGTTGGATATATAAGGATAGCTGAGAAAGAAAATGGAATGAAATGAAACAAAAGGAAAGTGCTTTTGTTGTAGGCTGGTGTGGACATGCTAGCTAACCTAGTTGGAGTCACATTGGGACCAAAAGGAAGGAATGTGGTGTTAGAGAACAAGTATGGTCCCCCAAAGATTGTCAATGATGGAGTTGCTATTTGCAAGGAGGTGAGGAGCATTCCTCTTGACATTTGTTATTTCTTTGGGCTTAATTATTCGTAATTTTTCTATACAATTCAGTGGGTTTTTGTTTGATTTTCTTAAAATTAAGCGTATTTGAGGTTGGTGAGATTTGAATTTATCTCAATGTGGAGCTTTCTATGAGATATTCTAACATTTAGCGTTTTCTAAGCATTGTGAGGTTAATTTTTTAAGTTTGAGGGATTTGGTTTGTCTTAGAAGTAGCAAATATATTGTGGGTTATCTGAAATTTATCGTTCTTAATCCCAATGAAATTAAATTTACTGTAGAATGATATTTATGAAATGGGTTTTTTTGGAACTTTGGCATTTCCTTCTCTTGAATACTTCAATTTTGATCATGAAGTGTCAGGTCTATTGTGGGGTTTTTTTCAGCAATTCCTGAGGTTTATTGTGGGGTTAATTTTTTAGGTTTGAACTACTTGGTTTGTCTTAGAAGTAGCGAACATATTGTGGGTTAATTAAAGTTAGCTTTTCTTGAGCCTGATAAGAATAATGTTAACGATAGAATGAGATATCTGAAGAGGTATTCCTGAGTTCGAAGAGTTCAAATTTGATTATGAAATGGGACATTTACTCTGTGATTTTTTCCATCAATTTGTGACATTTGGGACATTTTATTCTTGCTTTACCTGAAATTTTGGATGTTTGGTTTGAATTTTAGCATAAGCTAAGTTTCTATAAGGTTGGTTTTTGCTTTGAAGTAGAAGTTTTGATGTGGATTCTCTTTCTTGGGTTTGTGAAGATTGAGTTGGAAGACACCTTGGAGAACATTGGTGTAAAGCTAGTAAGACAAGCTGCTGCAAAGACCAATGATCTTGCTGGAGATGGCACTACAACCTCCATTATTCTTGCACAAGGACTAATTGCTGAAGGCTTGAAGGTACTCTGGGTTCCATGCTTATGTTCGGGCTTCACAATCTTAAAATATTTGTCTTCGTCAATTATTTTATAAAGAATTCAATTCCTTCTTGTTTGTTATGAACATTCATGGGCAATTATAACTGTTATTGTGTAATTATTTTGCAAGGTTATTGCTGCTGGTGCGAATCCTGTTCAGATTAGTAGAGGAATAGAGAAAACTACCAAGGCCCTGGTTTCCATGCTCAAATTGATGTCTAAAGAGGTAAGATGTCTTTTCTCTACAGCTTTAATAGGATTTCTTTGAGCGTAGATGCAACATACTACAGCAGCATTTTTACTTCTTATATTTCCCTCAATGATCAATATCTGATCCATGTGGAACAAAACTATTATGCTTGAGGATCCATTGGTAACTATGTCAGGAACGTGAATCTCTAACTTGTGGTGAACTCAAATTAATGGCTGGAAAGTATACTTGGCAACTAATTTCTAAAAGTACGGGATTTTTATTTTCCATTCACCCCACATGATTACCTTCTCCAGGTTTAAAGTGAAAAGAGTGGGCAAAAGTTTGTGAAGTCATCTGCAGAACATGAATGATCACTGAAATTATACTCTCTTTTTTTAGACTTGAAAGTATACTTTATTTTGGAAGTTTTAGGATAGAATATTATTAATTGAAATGGTGGAATGGCAGAACGAGATTCATGTGGTCAGCCCCAAATAGTTGGGATAAGGCTCAGATGATGGTGATATTATAGATCGAAAAAAGAGTTAACTACAACAGAAATGTTGGAAAAGCTAGAATGCAGGACATCTTCACACCCAGTTGAGTATATAACTCAAATATCAAGGAAGTGGCAGCTCTTCAAGTTTGAAATAGCCCTCATATACATCTACTGCAGAATGAAATAGCTCTTACAGCTGAGTACTCTTTAAACAAACTCAGATATCCTAGTTTTTTTCTCCCTATGTTTGTGTATCCCACCTTTACTGCAGTGATCTAAAACTTAGACCCAGGTTGGGACTCACAGGCCTTTGAGCCCTAGTCAGCTGTCCAACTCGGCCTAGTCTCTGTTAAAAAAAACACATTAGGTCCAGGGCCCAGTCAGACTCCAGTGGGTCTCAGGTATTTTTAACCTGACCTGGCACTCTGCCAGATCTGGGTGACTCAGGCAAATCCGAGCCCAAATCACCAAGATTTCAGACAGTGCTTTACCATGAAAGGGAAAAAAGAGAAAAAGGCTTGATGCTCTCAACTGTGCCTCATGTCCAAATGGTCTAGCCGAAACTTAGAACCAATGGAGGACTCCTATAGAATAACTTATCCAATTGAGACCCCAATCTTCAAGAATAATCCCAACCTGCTCTCCTCTTGATTTATCCTATCAGGACTCCTCTTGACTTGAATACAGTTAGACCTCAACTAGTCCCAGCCATGTCCCTTCCAGATTAACTTAAAATCATACCTATACAATTTGTTAAAATTGTCAATGCATAGGATGTGTTGTTCATGTCATGATGAGAAAGTTAACACATGGGATATGGACCAGGCTCATCGACAATAGCCTCGTAGTTGTAATTTTATGCATACATACAGGCTTGTTGACAATAGCCCATATGTTTTTCCTTCTGGGCTTTCTGATATGTTGTAAAGTTCACACTCTCAGGGTGTTTCATTTGTATTCTCTTAAACTCAATACAAGTCAACTTTCTCAAAAAAAAAAGAAAAAGAATTACCGCATGGGATATTATGTTTAGAAGGTGGCAAATGTTTTGATTGACTGTGTAGCCAATTAAGAATCAATATCTTATTTTTTAATTTTTTTATTTGGATATTTCAGATTTTCTTTATTCTTTCTGTAGTCATTGCCTTCATAACTGGCATGTCTCTTGATGAGTCCCCATCCTTGCAGGTTGAGGATCACGAACTTGAGGATGTTGCCTCAGTGAGTGCGGGAAATGACTATGAAATTGGATCACTGATAGCTGATTCCATAAGAAAAGTAGGAAGAATGGGTATGGTAAAAATCGAGAAAGGGAAAAGCACTGTTAACAGCCTGCATGTTGTTGAGGGAATGCATTTTGATCGCGGTTATTTGTCACCTTATTTTGTCACAGATCGTGAAAAGATGTCAGTAGAGTATGAGAATTGCAAGGTAGATCCCAGAACAGTTGGCATCCAAAATTCGGAAAGAAAACCAATAACTCATGTATTTTCTATCGGGAGGTATACAATAAGCTAATGGACTAAGGGAAAATCATAGTCAATCTGGGTTATCACCATCCATTGAAATGATGGCTGGTGAGTGCAAGAGAGTGCGATGCCCACTAGAAAACACATTACTCCAATAGTGGGTCCTACTGGCTATTATCACCACCCATTATCTCAGTGGATGGTGATGACGCAATGACTATGGATTTGCCTTGATCCGTTGGATTGTGCAGTAATTTTCCCTTTTATTCCTTCCTTTTTATTTAGTTTTATATGTGATTCTATCTAGTCGATCATTTGAGGGAAGAATCACCCTACTTGTGTACTTCTGTGACAGTGAACGGATATCCATTTTCACTGCAGTTGCTTTTGGTTGACAAAAAAATTGCCAAGCCAAAGGAGATGTTTAATCTTTTGGAAGCTGCAATAAGGGAGAAGTATCCAATTTTGATAATTGCAGAAGACATTGAGCAGGAAGCTTTGGCTCCTGTAATTAGGAACAAACTCAGGGGTTCATTGAAGGCAGCTGCCATCAAAGCTCCTGCATTTGGGGAACGGAAGAGCCATTGCTTAGATGACATTGCTATCCTGACTGGAGGTAGTGGAGCCATTATCAAGATTTATGCCATGGATTTTGGCGAAGTAGGAACCATTTGATATATTGCAAGTAAATCCTTTTCTTTTAACTGATAAAAATTATCATTCATATTTTCCTTGATATTATACAAAATTTAAACAAAACCAAAGATAATTCTTACCCTATGAGCATTTTTGTAAAAGCTTCTTGTTCATGACCAAAGTATAGATAATTGTGGTCATTATGTTTGATTAGCCTATAAATGTTTATGTTCAGGTACTGTAATCAGAGATGACATGGGTCTCAGCCTTGGAAAAGCCAAGAAGGAAGTATTAGGATCTGCCACAAAGGTGGTTATAACTAAAGATTCTACATTGATAATTACTGATGGAACCACTAAAGAAGCTGTAAACACGAGGGTTTCTCAGCTTAAAATCTTAATGGAGGTGCTTGCACTGCCTTTGTTGATGATATCCTTTAGCGTATTTTTCATTTTTGCACTGCATATCTAACTGTTCTATATTAGAAATTCATCCAAGCTCTTAATTCCTGCACAATAAAGGGTCATATAGATTATGTAAAGAAAATTTTCAAAATCTAGTGGGAGTGTTTTTGTTGTCTATGCATATGTTTATCTATTCCAAAAAGTTGATCCTTATCTATTGGGACTTCCTGTATATAGATGATGATTTTTATTTCTCAATGTGGCAACATATATTTGAGGGATCTTACATACTATCAGAAATAACCTGAGAAACCCAGAAATTGAGTTTTGAAAAGCATGAGGTGTAGAAACTACAGATTTTTGAAATCTCTTGTATTCTTGAAATCTAGTAATGCCTGATCTGTCCCATACGCCTTGACCTTCTTGTAATGTTAGCCGAAGTTGAGAACTAAAACATCAACATTACATATATGCTGAAAATGAGTTTATCTGATCTTTTGCTTGGGAGTCTTAACAGATTTTTCGGGCGCTTTTTCAGAATTCTGAAGAAAAATTCGACAAGAAAATTCTGAATGAGAGAATTGCCAGGTTATCTGGTGCAGTTGCTATTGTCCAGGTATCTTACATCCCATTGGACTTACTGCATGTTCTTGTCATTGGCCATTTTACCTCTGCACCCTCCCTACCTGTAAACAAAAGTAATCTTATGCTTTAATCCAGTGGGAAAACATCATTTGCAATCGTCTCCCATCCAATGAAATGATGGACAGTGGCTTGTAGAGAGAATGGGGCTAATCTGATGAGGAAGTCACCCCATTGGTTGGTCCAAAATTTTCTTTTTCTGTTTTATTGGTGGGTCCCACTCTTTCCATCAATCAATCACTCCAATAGATAATGATGACTCCAAATACTATGGTTTTCCTTTGTCCACGGGATCATAACACTCTTTGCTGAAAAAGGGAAGAAAAAGAAAAAGTATAAAGCTGTCCTCAAGAAGTGAAAGAATCAGGAAAGTTTGCTTAATCCTGCGAATTATGTCTAACCTGATTGCAGGTCGGAGCTCAGACAGAAGTAGAACTCAAGGAGAAAACACTGAGAGTAGAAGATTCCTTGAATTCCACTAGGGTACCTACTACTCTTCCTTGATATTTTGGTGTTAAGATTGGTATTGATATATTAGAAATTTTCTAAACCAGTGTACTGAAATTGATTCTATGGAATTATTTGCTCAACAGGCAGCTATTGAAGAAGGCATAGTGGTTGGTGGTGGCTGTACCATGTTGAGACTATCTTTGAAGGTGGATACCATCAAGAAATCTTTAGAAAATGAAGAGCAAAAGGTACTTTTCTTTTATGATATTTGTTTTGCTTCAACTAACGCCTATTATTCCTTTACTAATTCTGTGTTTTCTTTTTTAATTTCTTCATAGGTTTGTTTCTTTTTTTTATTCCAATGTTCAAGGAAACTTTGATGGTTTTTTAACTCATGAAACAAAATATTGAATCTGAAAATTGTTGCAGTGATATATACAACAAAATACTAGAGACTTTTAAAAGTGAAAGGATCCTTTCATTTGTAGTCACTCACCCAAAGAGTTAAACAGTGTGTGATATTGTGTTACGGAACACCATAATTCAACAATCTAATTAAGATGGGTTTTCCATTTACAGTTTTTATAATACAGAAAAAATCTTAATCCCATTTCATTCGTTGTATTCTACAGGTGGGTGCCGATATATTCAGAAAGGCTTTAGTCTATCCTATGAAACGGATTGCAGAAAATGCAGGCATCAATGGGAATGTTGTTGTAGAGAAGGTCTGTATAATGTGCTCTGTTTCTTTATATGGAAGGGAAAATTTTCAATATCTCTATTATGACATTAGTGAATATTCTTTATTCAGCAAAGAAGATGATGAAATTAGGAAATATTCTGTTTCTTGCTTGAGTTTGGATAGAATGCCATATCAAAAGTTGGAGTTTTTGTTAAATAGGTTATGTTGACAGAGGATGTTAGATATGGATATAATGCTTCTAAAGGCATTTATGAAGATTTGATGGCTGCTGGAATCATTGATCCATCAAAGGTAATGACGTGCATTTTATAATTATCCAATTAGAAGACATATTTCTTTTTCTTTATGTTTTCATTTGTGAAACTGCCAGATATAAAGGTTTCAAATTAATCTTATCTGTTATCTTTACTTAGGTCACATCTATCAAGTTTTCATATTGTCTGTCATAATGCACCTTCCAATATTTACGTGCTTTTGTTGTTTTTCCTCATTTTTTCCCCATGGATTCAACTCCCAGATCTTTCTCTATGTAAATAAAGTATTTCTTTCCCTATTGGCGGTTATGTTATGGATTTCTGGCTTTTATTTTCTAGACAGCACATGCTTATGCACACTTTTATATGTGCTTATATATTAGTGCGTGCAGAAAAAGCATAAAAGCTGTTATAAATGCATTCTAGTTGGGGACTAATTGATGCATGGAAATGGCACAAGACTATGATAGCTGAATACTCGGCATCAATTGTTCACGCATTCTTACTGAAATTTGGTTTCCATTTAAGTCAGGTGGTAAGGTGTTGTTTGGAGCATGCTGCTTCTGTTGCAAAGACCTTTCTTATGTCTGACGTGGTTGTTTCTGAAATAAAAGAGCCAGAGGCTGTTAGAATGCCATTGCAAAGTCCAGGTGCTCTCTCTCTCTCTCTCTCTCTCTCTCTCTCTC